CAAAAACCTATTAGTTGTCACTTCCCTATGCCCTCTTCAGTCGGGTCTCTGGAAACCATTAGTCTACTTTCTACCTCTATGGATTTGCCTAGATTGTTCCATTGTGTGGACTGTCTTTTCACTTTGAGTGTGTCCTTGGAAAGACAAAAAGCATTTCCTTTTGATAAATATAATGTCTTTAATAGATGAGGCTGTTTTGGATGGAATAAAAAAATTGACATGTTTTGATTTTGTGATTTTTCTTTTGCTCTGTATCATTTTTTTTAAAAGAGCGATTTTTTGCTATAGGGCATGTGTGCTTGCCGGAGAGACAGAAAGAAACAGAGAAACAGAAAGTGAGATATCACGCCCCCGAAGGATGGCGATGCTGCAATCCCATCTCCTCCATTCTCCCCTCAGGATCCTGGGCATGCATGCATTCACTCAAACCGTGGTCAGCCATGTGGAGTGTCCAGTGCTTTAACCATCACGCCACTTGCTGGTCCTTTTTTTTTTTTTTTTTTTAAATAGATCCTCAAAATATTTCTATACAGTGACTGATAGAGCAGCATGAGAATAACACAATAGTATGTGGAGTAAAAAGGAATGAGGATTATCTCCACATTATTGTGAAGTCACCTTTAGGACATTATCAAGAAATGAAAAAAACCATGGCTGAAAATGTATGTATATTATGCTATCATTTATATGAAGTGGCAGTGGAAACACACAGAGACATATTAACCTACTTTTTTTTTTTAATAGGGAGGAAAATTATAAAATAAAAGAAAGTGGTTATTTATGTCAGGAGGAAATAAGGGAGATTTCTCTGAATATATTTTGTTTTATTGACTTGACTTTTAATAATGATACATACACTTTACTTACAAGGCAAAACCAACTTTAAAAAAGCAATCCCTCCCAAATCAAAATTAAAATGAAACAAATGAATCTTAGCTATTAAGTTGGTGGCACAGTCACCCTGAGACAAATTAATCAAAACAACCAGGGACCAGTAGTTAGTGTAATGGCTATGTCGCTGGACTCCCACATAGTCAACCGCGGTTTGCGTCCCGGACCCGGTGGCTTAAAACTCACACTGGGCACGTGTGCGTGCGTGCCCAAGATCCCGAGAGGAGAATGGAGGAGAAGGGATTGCGGC